GACCTGTTATTACATAGATGACAGCTTCTTTCTCTTTCATATCACACAGCTGAGCTTGTAAGTTAATTTCAAATAGAAACTTATAAAAGCTTTTATAGATTGTGATTCAGTAGTTGATCTTAAGTGATCACAGCTTAAGAAAGTTTCTTTTCAGTTTGTGAAGATCTCTAAAGATCATGTCTAGAGACTCAGTTCAAAAGTGTTTACAGACAGTAACAGACTGACTGTGTAACCGTGTCTGAGACCAGAATCAAAATTTTTGATAGTCTCATTACCAATTTGACTGATCTCATTACACAGTTTTAACATTAGATAGTAGTTTCATACTGTCTCAGTGAGACTTACTGTCTACTCTTGTCACATTTTTCAAATGAGATCATGATTTCCACTTCTCAATTTAAATTAATTTTATTGCTTTAAATGACTTTAAATCTCATTTGAGCATTATCAAAAAGTGTTACTTTTTAAAAAATTAAAAATAGTCTAAAAAAAACCTTAAAATGTCTAAAAATAGTAACTTTATGCTAAGAATGGAACTAAATGACATCAAATGAAACCACTTTCTCATTTTTTTCAAGTCATGGTTTCATTTTGAGACTTGAAATATAGTCACTTTGCATATTTTTTTAATAACTTGTCCCAGCGGGATTCACACTAAGAAATGTATGAGATCAGATCAAATGAGACTAAATGTGAAATTCATAGTTCTAGCGGCCAGTCTAGAAAGTAAGTATTTCTTATAGAAAAATAGCTTAGTTCTGTGAGATATGCTCAAGAATGTTCTTCACTGAGATTGATTTATTCATGAATTCAGAGAGTTTCTCCGTTACAGATACAGAGAATGATATTCTGTGAGTGATTAATAAGTTCTCTGACACTTCTTTTACAGAGATAATTCATAGTTCAGATAGCTGGTTCTGAGTGTCTGTAGTAGAGTTTACAGAGATTGAAGTATATAAGTTTCTAGTTCTTTCAGTCATAACAGATGATTGCTGACTGACAGGGCTTGAAATATAAGAATAAGTGCTCACAGACAATTATTCAGGTCTTTGTAGCTTGACATGATATGTATTATTAACTACTAGAAGTATTTATGATAGAAAGATAAAATGTAGAGATTAAATGTATAATAGTATTCAAGCTGAGTTATGAATAGTATTCACAAACTTCAGTCTATACAGTTGTGTGTAGCCAAGGGCCGCTAACTCTATTGATTACGCAAGAGATAGAAATAGAGGTAAAGAATCCGCGAGAAGCGGGATTTCTTACAGATACAGAGTTAGCTGCTGATCTGAAGATTGAGTACAGTGATAAGACTGAAAAGGATAAAGATACTGTTATAAATGATAGTATCTCTGCTTTATCAGTCAGTAAAATGTGATTAGAGAAGTTATGAAAATACTCACAAGAAGCTCAGCAGCAGTCAGATATTATTTATAAAGATATTAAAATTGAAAAATTTTTATTGTTGAGAAGTTCTTGAATTAATATATAAATATTATTAGAAATAATCTCTCTCTACTATCTGAATAAAAATACTTCATAGATGAATAAGAATACTCACAGTTTATAAGAATAAGAGCTGTTATAGAAAAAGAGAAAAGAAGATAAGATTCTATAGACAGATCTGAGATATTTATACTTCTTTAGAGAGGTTTATTTACAGTATAAGTAATGTCACAGAACAGTTCGATTACTGAAGTAAATAAAGAATAATTATGAATTATAGATCTGAATCTTTCTATATAACTATAAACAGTGATTATAGACTATAAACATCTTGATTCTACAATTCTACAGAGTTAATGAAAGAATGAAAAATTTCTTACAACTTTACAGTGTTAAAGAATGATAATTTACAAGAATAAGTGAAAGATTAACTCATAAATACTTCTCTTTAATAAGAATGATCTCATAGAAAGTGATTTATCTGCAGAATGAATCTGTGTAACAGTCATATAAGAATCTCATAGAAAAATGATTGAAGATCAACTGAAACTCTTCAGATTGAAAGATATAAGATGAATCTATGTGATAATTACATAAGAATCTCATGAAAATAATTGAGAGTCAACTGAAACTCTTTTATATAAAAGATGTAAGATAAATCTGTATAATAGTCAGAGAAAGATCTACAGATTATAAGAATCTCACAGAATAAGAAACTAAGTGACTGACTTTTTTCTCTTTATAATAATAAGAGATTTTTTCACACTGAGATTCTTATAGATGTGAAGAGTTTTTAATGAGTATTACTTCAGTACTGAGCTTAATTCTATGAAATCACTCAGTGAAAGACTTCACAGATAAAGTCTTAGAGAGAGAAGAGTATATAAGAAATCTCACTTCTTATGAATTCTTTATCTCTATTTCTATCTCTTATATAATTAATAGAGTTAACAGCTCTTGACTACATATAACTATATAAACTGAAGTTTATAACTACTATTTATAACTTAGCTTAAATACTATTATATATTTAATCTCTATATTTTATCTTTCTACTGTGAATACTTCTAGTTATTATTATTATTATTATTCTTCTTTTATTATACTTATATACAAGCGGAGCTTATAATGAGTTCTTGTATAATGTTAAATACAGGTCAAGTGTTGATTATACAGAGAGGAAATACAGATGTTAAGATTATACTAAGATAATAAGAATATAGAAAAATACAAAGAAGTGATAATTAAATACATATGATAATAACTTCTCAGCTCAGAAACATAGAGCAATTCATTGAAGTGATTTGTACACCTCTGTATTTATTAGAAACCTGAGGTGCTTGAGTTCCGGATTTAATGTATCCCCTGCGGGTTTCGAACCCACGCGCCTTGGTTTCCCATGTCAAGATGCTACCAGGTGGCCGCATTAATTATTCGGCCACCGGGGCGAATACTTCTAGTAGTTAATAGTATATATCACATCAAGCTGCAAACACCTGAATAATTACCTGCGAGTACTTATTCTTACAAGCAGTGAGATACTCTGATGTACAGGTGTTATAGCTACTAATATCAGACAGATACAGTAGTTATTAACTCAGTGTCTTATATAACTCTCAGTGTGACTCAGTTGATAAGACTGGTAATCAAGGCTGTATACATTAAAGATGCGTGAGTTCAAATCTCATCACTGACATCTGTTACTTATTACTCATGAAAGCTTTTATATAATAGAGACTGAGTCTAATTAGTAAGACTTAATAAAGAATAGAACTCTCTACTGCAAGTCAAGTCACTAGTTAAGTGAGATTCTGTAAACACTTATTAGAGCTAATATAAAATGTTAATATCTTACTATTTTACTGTACATCTGTCAAGATTCTAATAATATAGAGCTAAGTGTAATGTAGTAATTATATACTACTTAAGTAAGTCTCTAACTAGAGCTGTTATCAGAGTCTAGCTTTCTCTTAAATACAGAGAATAATTTTGATAATTATCTGACTAGTAGATTTAGATATATATCTAGACTCTAGACAGAGTACTCTGATAGACTAGAGTCTGTAAGCTTACTATTAAGTTCTAATACTGACAGAGAGAACTGCAGTTATCAAGTCTATGATTAGTCTCTATCACAGAGTGAGATCATGACAGCTGATTAATAGATCTATGAGTATCTAACAGACCTGAGATCAGCAATTAGAAGCTTGATGTGTACATTATCAAGTGAGTAGTAACAGTTACTAACTAACACCTCTGAAAATTAGTAGCTGGCCCGAGAGGACGGACACAGTGATCGGTTAATTATAGAGAATTAAAATGTAATTAGCTTAAAATGCATTCTGTGAGTGGCTAGCGCCTGTAGCCTCACAATTGAAACAGTCTGATCAACTTTTCATTCAGTGAGTAAAATGAGTTCAAGAGTATACTCAGTTGATGTGGAAAAAGATGTTTTCTCAGACACTATTCCTGAGATTGAAATTCTAAACAGAAGAAGAAAGGAAGAAATAGAGAAATAACAAGTTCTTGAAATACAGAAACTTGAAAAAGCAGGTAAAATTCTTGAAAAACAGTGTCTAAGTGAGAATAATAAAGAAGTTCTGTTAATGCTTCATACTCAGAGTAGACAACTACAAGAGATGATGAAGTTCAAACTTGGAATTTCAAATATAATTCAAAAAACATTGAAATTTTCTAGTACAGTTACTAACTCTTTCTTATCTTCTACTTCTTCATCTTCTTCTTCAAATCAGAAGAAAATATATGCTTAAGTAGCAGAATCTGCTGTCTCTAAATCTGTTATCTCAAAATCTGCTCAAAATTCTGAGAAAACTGAGAAGAATACTACTCAGATCTCTGTTCATAGAAAAGAAGAGAAAAAAATGTAAAAAGAGAAAAACTTTCAAATTTCCAGAAATAGAAGACTTATTCTCAAAGTCTCAAATCAGAAGATCTTACAAAGAAACAAGCTAAACTTAAATCTTATTTTCAAAATTAGAAATGAAATTAATCAGCAGTTCTTTTCTCAGTTAATAACTGATATTGAAGTTCAAAAATCAGTTATAGCTTCAATTGAGTCATCTTTCTTTGAAAATTTTATTATTTTAACTATAATGTCTGAATTCAGTGCAGAATTTCTCATTTAAAATAAGAATCTCTGAAAATCAGTAATAGAATCTCTACTGAATACAATAATTCTATCTGAGAGAGATGAAAAGTGAGCCAAATTCATTCTTTATAATATTTCAGTTGAAATTTTTAACTGTGAGGAAGAAATACTACTTCTTAAAAATGAATTAGAAGAATACAATTCTAGTGAACTGAGAAAAGAGTCTGTATGACTTAATTCAATTGAGGTCAGATAAAGCAGAAGAAATGAGTCTGTTCTAGTGTATATAAAGACACTTGAATAATCAAGAATCTCTGAAGTAAGAGTAGCAGATTTAAAATGAGAGTTCATAAATACAAAGACTCAAGAATAAATCTCAAAGCTTAGACACAGTGTTCAAACTGTCAAAGATATAAACACTTTGTAATCTCTTATTTCAGAGACTCAAAATGCACAGTTCATACTAGAGATTATAAAACTAGTGTGTATAAATATGAAATATGCTCAAAAACAGATGAAATATGTCAACATACTCTGCTTAAATGCTTCAATTGCAAAGAAGAATATGCATCTAACTCAAAGAAATATGTATTTACTTCAAGAACTCAGAAGAACTGAAGAAAAGATAAAGCTCAAAGTAAATCTAAAACTGAAGAAAAAAGTCAAGTCAGTAAATCTACAGCTATAAGCTTAAAAAGAAGAAACTCTCAACTATCTAAATCTTCAAACTTCAATTTTTGAGTAAAATGTAAACAGAATTTGAATTCTTAAATATCTGTTAAGATTAGAGAATTGAGAAATGACTCTGATAATAAATTAGATAGAATGCAAGCAGTTGAGATTTCTACTTTTCAAAATAGTTATAATTCACTATCTGATGATAGTGATTAGATTCTACTCTATCTTCACTCTCTTTTAGTATGAATGTATAATAAAAATAATAAAAAAAGTTTAAAAACTCTTCAAAAATCACATTTATTTACAACAATGTGAATTGAAACTTAAATTATATTTATTCTTATCTTCAGATTACATTTGAATAAAAAGTTAACTTTATACTTCTTCAAGAACCAAACTTTGATACTGAGTAAAAGTACATCATTTCTCATTTAAGCTATTACTACTTTCTTTCTGAAAAATCTGAGATAAAATCAAGAGTAGTAATCTATGAGAGAAAAAGATCAAGATATCAATTTAATCTGAGATTTAGTATCATATCTGACTCTGATATTCTAGTGAGTGATATTATAGATAAAGAGAATGAGTTTGATACTATTTAACTTATAAATATCTATAATGAAAAGTCATTGAAAGAAAACAACAATATCTGAACAATTGACAGAGAATTTTTGAGTATAACTCTCTTAAAAAACTCTATAATTACAGAAGACTTCAATGCACATTAATTCTGATAAAACTCAGAATGCATAAGAGCAGTAAGAGCAGATAAACTAATTAAATGAACTTTTAAACATTCAATAGATTTAGATAACAAGTCTGATTAATAAACATTCTTTAGAAAAGACATGAAATGAAAATCTATTATAGATCTAACTTTCATGTCATAAAATCTAATTAAAAAAAGACTTATAAACTGATTTATTGATTCAAATGAAACCTCAAAAATGAGTCATAAGATCATTCAATTTGATATTGAACTGAGTGAAAAACAAAGAAGTGAAATTTCTCTTCTCTCTAATCAGTATCACTTTGAAAAAGCTGATTGAAAAGCAGTTGAAGAAACAGTAAAACAGCTGAAATCTGAAAAGCAGAGTGAGCTCTATTGAAATCAAAGTCAAGATATCTCAAATGAAATGCTTGAGAATAGAGTAAAGCTGAATACATCTATTCTTCTAACAAGTATTAGAGAAAATATTTCAAAGAAAAAGTCTTCTGAGTATTTCAAATCTTGATGCAATGAGAATATCACTTCTAAAAGAAAGCAATTAGTCACTGCTAAGAGAGATTGAAAGAATAACTTAAAATCTAATAAAGAGTTCAATACTATTCAAAATGAATATTTTTCAAATATTAAAAGAGTCAAAACATGTTACCTAAACAAATTTCTTAAAGAAGTATAAGAAAAAGAAGTTTTTAAAGTCTTTAACTATACTAAAACAAGAAGTGTAGCAAAGCTTTCAATCTTAGAATATAAATTTCAGAATACATTATATACAGCAAACTCTTTTAAGTACAAGTGTTAAGTTTTTATAAGAATTCTCTTTCAAAACTCATCACATTTAGAAGAGAAGAATATGGCATTTCATGAATATATTGATGAAAGTAACTGAGAATGATCTGAGCTTATATGTAATAAACTAGAGTCACTAATATTCTCAAGTTCAATTAGAACTGCTGCAGAGCCTGATTCAATCAATCACTTGATTATTTAAAACATATATTTCTACTTGAAGAATGAATATTTTGAGCTCTTTTTCAATCTCTTAAAAAATAATTATCATTCTGAATGCTGAAGAGAAGCTACTGAAGTAATCCTTACAAAATCTAATAGAAAAACTTTAATTTCTAAGTTATATAGAGTAATATCTCTGTTGAACTGTTTGAGAAAAATTCTAGAAAGAATAATAGCTACTAGATTATCTTTTATAAGCTCTATTAGTAATTCTCATCTATTTAATAAATAAATGAGAGATAGAAAACAATATTCTGCAATTGATACTGTTCTTTCAGTTATTCATAATATTTAAGTAGCAAAGCATAAAGATCTGGTCTCAACTGCAGTTTTTATTGATATAAAAGATGCATTTGATCATGTTTCAAAGTCTAAGATGATTTAAACTTTGAAGATGTTAAAACAGTCACTTTCTCTAATAAAATGAGTTAATTATTTTATATCTAAAAGAATTATACAACTATTCTTTGATGAAATGAAATAAGATAAGACTGAGATAAAAATAGAAGTATTGTAAGAATCTTTAATATTACCTGTTTTATTTACAATATACACTGCATATCTATTCAAGAATAGAGAAATGAAAATAGTGAGATCTTCAAGTTATATAGATAATATTGATCCACTCTATTATTCAAAGACAATCAAAGAGAATTTAGAAGTGATTGAGAAAGCAGTAAAGAAAATCTTTGTTAGAGTAGATATCAATCTAATTCAATTTAATATGAATAAAACTGAGTTAATTCACTTTTTTTCCAGATTTAATGAGAAAGATCTAGGTCTAACTCTTTTGAACAAAGAGATTAAATCCAGTTTAAATGTCAAATGACTAGAAGTATGATTAAACTTCAAGTTGAATTTTAAATATCATATTTAATAAAGAATTATCAAGACAGAGAGACTACTGAATAGTATAATCAGTCTATCAAATACTGAGAGAGATCTATTCTTTCAGATTATGAGACAGTTATACATAGCCTGTATTATCTCAGTAGCTGATTATGAAGTTTAAGTTTAATAAAATAATTAAGATAATTTCACTGAACTCTTTCAAAGTCTATAAAACAGAGCTTTGATAAGAATTCTGAGAGCATTCAAATCATCTTCTATTAAAGCAATGAAAATTGAAGCTTCAATTTCATCTTCTGCTATTCAATTTGAAAAAGCCTGTATAAACTATGCTCTGAGAGTCATGAAGATGAGCTTAAATCATATACTCACAGAAAGAGTCTCTTCTTCATTTTCATTAGTTAACTCAGCAAATGAACTGAATTGAAATAGATTTCTTGATTGAAATGAGAATAATATTTTAAAGAAAATGCTCTCTCAACTGTATAGACTATATTTGATTATTAAAAATCAATTTTCTTTATTAAATGTTGAGAAAAATGATCATGAGAAGACATCTCTCTGAGGAGAAAAGCTGAAATCTCTCATAGACTTATAAATATGTGAACTATCTAAAGAGAGAGAATATGAACAGCATTTAAAGAAGATCTCTATAATCAATATAAAAGACTCTATTCTGGTTTACTCAGATGACACAAAAAATGAGAATTTAAATAGATTAGATGCAGACATTGCTTATACTGAACATAATATCAATTTTATCTCAGATTTGTGAAATTTAGACTGTGAATCTAAAGTCTTTGATACTGAACTATTTGTAATAGTGAAATCTTTCAAACTCATTAAAATAAAATCTCATAAAAGAGAAAATAGTTTGAAAGTGATATGAATATTCTCTGATAGTCATGCTGCTTTAAAAAGACTTAGAAATAGTCAGATTCATAATAATCAAATGAATCTTGAACAGATTTTAAACTCTGTTTTAAAAATTCAAAAGAGAAGAATATTAAAACTGATAATTCATCTGCACTAAGTTTCTGCTTATATGAATATTCATGACAATGAATTGACTGCTTCAGCTGTAAAAAAAAGTTCAGATTTAAGCAAATCTATTCAAAAAATAGTATTCTGATCTGTCATAAAGAGAAAGATAAAAGAATCTTATTTAAATAAGTGAAATGAAAGCAGGCAGAAACAAAAGAAGAGCATACATTATTCAAGATTTTAGATAAAACCAAAGTGGAAATCTTGTTCAATTAAATGTAAAAAGAAAATATTCTCATTTATAATTCAGCTGAAACTAGGACATGGTTATTTCAAATTCTATATACAAAGATTGAATGATAGATTTGATTCAACAGAGTACTCATTTGTAAGAATAAGTGCTCACAGACAATTATTCAGGTGTTTGCAGCTTGACCTGATATGTACTATTAACTACTAGAAGTATTCACAGTAGAAAGATAAAATGTAGAGATCAAATGTATAATAGCATTCAAGCTGAGTTATGAATAGTATTTGTGAACTCCAGCCTATATAGTTGTGTGTAGTCAAGAGCTGCTAACTTTATTGATTACATGAGATATAGAAATAGAGATAAAGAATTCATAAGAAGTAAGATTTCTTATATACTCTTCTCTCTCTAAGACTTCATCCGCGAAGCCTTTCACTGAGTAATTTCATAGAACTAGGCTCAGCACTGTAGTAATACTTGCTAAAAACCCTTCATATCTATAAAAAACCTCAGTGAGAAAAAAGAAAATCTCTTGTTACTGTAAAGAGAAAAGAGTCTGTCACTCAGTTTCTTATTTCATGAGATTCTTTATAGCCTGCAGATTCTTCTCTGACTATTATACAGATTTATCTCACATCTTTCATATAGAAGAGTTTCAGTTGACTTACAATTATTTCTGTGAGATTCTTGTGTGATTATTATATAGATTCATTCTACAGATAAATCACTCTCTGTGAGATTATTCTCATCAAAGAGAAGTATTTACAAGTTGATCTTTCACTCATTCTTATGAATCATTATTTTTTAACACTGTACAATTGTGAGGAATTTTTCATTCTTTCATTAACTCTGTAGAATTGTAGAATCAAGATGTTTACAGTCTGCAATCACTCTTTATAGTCATATAGAAAGATTCAGATCTCTAATTCATAATCACTCTTTATTTATCAGAGTGATCTGACTCATTTATGAGATTACTCATAGTATAAATAAATCTCTCTAGAGTAGTATAAATATTTCAGATCTGTCTGTGAAATCTCATCTTCTTTTCTCTTTTTCTGTAACATCTTTTATTCTTATAAACTGTGAGTATCTTTATTCATTCACACAGTGTTTTCACTCAGCTAACAGAGAGAGAGTG